ATGATGCACTGGTACACAACTCCAGTGAAGTTGTGTAGAATGGGAAAGGTATCAACATACGAATGTTGGAGAGGATGTGGGCATAATGGCACATAGGGAATACCCAAAAGTGAGAAAGTACCGGGAAATGGTTTACATGCTGTTATTTCAGGTATTTCTTCAAATGTTTAATCTGGACCCCTGAACTTACCTCCTCTCTAGGCCCATTGATGGTCTTGTCTCCCATTCTTTGATTAGTATTTAACATGATAATGCTAACAGCTTGTTGAGCATTGGCTTCAGGATGGTGTCCAAACCCTACAATATTCAAAAGTGAAAAAAAGAGGACAAACATATGATGGATACATTTACAGTTATAGTCTGAAACTGTATGGATAGATATCAAAAAGTATGTTCTCCCTGAGAGTAATACCTAGGCTATGGGGGTGGGCTGGGTGAGATGAAGGGGCACCCCTCAGGGAGTGACCATAAACGATTCAAAAGCCAGGAAAGTAGTTTCAAGTTTACAAGGAATTCTCTATTACTCATTTTATATTGTTGATGTTCTTCACAAGATGTCTTCTATATACTAGTTTTGAGCAAGAACATACTGAAGTGATTTTTTTAATAAACTAATGTTAACTAAAGAAAGCATTTTGTGATGTAATTTGTTATAAAATAATGTTTTAAAAAAGGGAGCCAAAATGTCTGTTTTGAATATGATACTGATGATAATATACAATGCCTCTTTGAATAAACAAAAAATGTAAAAAAACAAATAAACAAGCTCTGTGACTACAGGATAGGGCCTTGTGATTATGTTTATGAATCGTGACAGTATAGAAAAGAGATGTTCGCCTGTTCATCAAAGTAAGTGCATAGAAATGGGATCAAATCAAAGGTACATTTTTTGTCTATTCAATCAAAACATTAGCGACACTAAAAAATCATATTTTCTATTCACTTTAAATATTTTGTTGATAAATATTTAAGAATTAAGTGAGATAAACAACTGACAGAGTTCATCTGGGTCATGGACACAAACATGTTTTGCCAAAATTAAGCCTGACAGAAAGTAAAGAGAAAATTAAAAAAAAAAATGTAATAGGTTTTATTCTGGAACAATGCAAAAAAAAAATTTTTTTCACCTGACCAGTTCTATCATCTCTGTGCAGCAATTCACAACAGCCTGGCAGAAGAAATTCTGTATGAAATGAAATGATGTGTCCATCAGTTTACTTTTCACGGTTAGGAGTAGAATGGTAAATAGGTTTGCACATTGAAGGTACAATAAAAAAAAAATTCAAGTTACACAAAGGAACTATGCTCAAAAGTCCTGCAAGACTTCAATGGTAAACCATTGATCACAGTTGCTTGTGTGCTGTGAAGAATACAATATCAGCAACTCCTAGTTTCATTTACTTAGAATGCTGGGCAGGTATAAGGGGTATTTAATCAATTAAATAAAACCACTTGTTCTTATATTTGTTACCTAGTTTTTCAGTGAATGAAAAACCACTTGCATTATAATGTTTTCTACCAGAAAATTCTGAGTAAATGTGCAGGTAATAGAGTATGACTAATAGGATATCTAATCACCAATGAGAATTGGAATAGAAGAATCTCAGGGAAAACAACATAGAAAAACATTGAGAAGGAGGCATCCATTTTATTTTTTTCATTTAAATTTTATAAAATGCTATGCAAATCCACCCTGTGGTGGACATTCACATCCATGACTCTATGTTCTCATTGGCTGAGAAAATGATATCATAGAAGGTTACATTAGAATGAAGAATGTCCTGCAGAGTTGAGAGACTTGAAACAGATGGGGATGCCTTTGAAACAGATGACAATGCTAGCATCCATTTACTGAACATCACCAGGGTTATTCACTAAAGTGACAATTGTTTTGTTTTCTAACTGGAAGAAGAAAAGAAAGGGAAAAATAAGGCAGCACCCAAAAATCACAGAAACCAATCTGTTTTGGCGTGTTTGGTGTGCACCAAAGGGTGTATGTATTGGAGAAATAGCTTTATTACAAAAGTAAAATCTCCAATGAATAAATAATATAATTTATATATGGGAAAGAACATAGAATGCTTGATCGTAATATCTCCTTAGTGAACAAAATACATATGAGAAAAAAAATGTAAATGTGATAGAGAAACATTGTGCAACAGCAGTACACTTATAATAAATGTGCCACTGTCGATCTAATAAACTCTACCAGGTATTTAAAGAGAACTCCTGCATACTGTAATGGTCTAGATCAGGGGTAGGCAACCTATGGCACGTGTGCCATGCACGGAACTCAAGGTACTTTTGCACAGCACTCAAGGCTGCTAGAGCCAAACAGGCCCTGGCCGATCAGGAGTTCCAGTAAAACTTTAGATATCTGCCAATAGGTGGTGAAGGACAATTCTCAATGTATGCATTGCAGCACGTAGAAGAAGGGATCTCAGATCAATTCCTCCCAGCACTTGTGAATGGGAATCCACACTGTAGTAAAGCAGCCCTCGGCAGCTCCTGCCCTTGACATGTATATGAAAGCCACACACACTGCTAGATATACGGAATAACCTTCCCCTCATCAAATAATAGCAGCCCACACAGCAACACAACACAATCTCAACACCACTGACCATCCATATACATGCACACAACCTCACATGCAGTCTCTGACACACAATACCCCAAACAGCCCCACACATACACACTACAAAACACACATTTTGATATATCCATACACACGCACACACACACACAATTCCCCAAGTAGCCCCCATACACAGCCGACATTCATAGATACACAATACCACAAACTACTCAAGAACATATACAATATAATAGCTCATATACACACAAATACAACTATACAAAGCAACTGCAGTATAAATAACACAAGCAGAAAACTGCAACATGCACATCACAATTTAAAAAAAAATAGGACCAGCACGCTACGGGACATCACAATCTTATTTCGACACGGTGCTGCTAAAAGGTTGCCTACCCCTGGTCTAGATACTAGCTCGATACAGCAGAAAGCACAACCTGCTCTCAAGCTAAAACAAATTACCCAGGCTATCTTTCCCTCTCACACAGGCATAGAAAGGGTAAAGCCCAAAGTATCACCGCCGATCTGTCTCTTTCAATAGCTTCAATCATTGTGTCTGGAAAAATCCAGCTTGGAAATAATGACTATTTTATTGCTTTTCGTTTTTTCATTCTAGTGGTCAGTTGTCACATTGTCTGTGAATAAAATAAACATTTATTAGCTCTCTCCTAACCATTAGCTAGCCTTTTTTTGCTCCCCCTTGATTGGACTTGAGATTCAGCCCACATTTTGTAAAGACCACATGTTTACAGGGTCATTTTAAGGAATTTGGGGGCCCCAAGCAAAACAGACATGGATGCCCCCCCAACCACCCCTCCCCCTCCACATGCACGCAAAGCCTACAGGAACCACAGCATAGCCATACAGTTTAAGTTCACCCACACTTTATATAAATAAGAAAGGTTTACAGTGCAAATACTGCTTAGAGCTCTGCCCTGCCCCTTAGTGGTCTTTCCTCTCCCCCCATCCTCCCCTACCAGTCTCTTCTCACCCCTCCATATTCTCCTCACACCCCCCTCCCTGTGTTCTCCTCATCTCCGCTTCTGATCACCCCCTACCTGTGTTCTCCTCATCTCCGCTTCTCCTCACCTCCCCCTTCCCTGTGTTTTTCTCATCTCCTCACCCCCTCTCCCCGTGTTCTTCTTACTCCCTCCCATGTTCTTCTCTTCCCCCCTCCCACCCTCCTGTGTCCTTCTTTCCCCTCCCAGTCCTGTGTCCTTCTTACTCCCCCCTCCTGTGTCCATCTTACTCCCATCCCACCTCCCTGTGTCCTTCTTGCTCCCCTCCCTCCCTGTGTCCTTCTTACCAGGCCCGTCGCTACTGGAGAGGCAAACCAAGCAACTGCTTAGGGCCCCGAGCTGGCCCGGGCCCCAAGCAGAGCCGGTGCTTCCTATAAGGCTGCAGCCGCCTGAGCGCTCTATAGAGAGCCTCAGGCGGCTGCAGCACTCCTCTCTCATCACCTCCCCTTCCCTGTAGCGTGGCAGAGCTCCTCTTCCTCCTGGCTGACAGTCCGGCCGGGTACCGCGCACTACAGGAGATTCAGTTTCCTGTTCGAGAAAGATCCTCTTTTGTATCTAGTGAATGAATAATTGACTGAATTCAAGCTTTCAGGAAGACTTGACAAAATTAGAATCACTTTGTCTTCTTCATTAAACTCTCATTCCAGGCTGGTTGATGGCCCTGCCAGGTGTTACACCACTGGCAGCAAAGTGCTATGTGCAATATTTCAAACTGAAATGCTGCAAATACAGACTCTAAGCAACATGCCCACTTCAAATCTCTGAAGTGGTAATGGTGCTTGGAGTAATCCTTTAAAGATTGCTGCATATACCCCACAAGAAGCACCAAACATAGATAGCACCTGTTGGCCTCCCTTGCTCGATATATTGCATATTTTCAGACAAATCTAAATTACTTATATAAACTGTTCTCAGAGAAAAAAGGCATATGGGTTCTATTTATTAAACTGCAATTTGGAATCAACTGACTTAAATAATTTATCCCGATATTGCAAAGTTGCAAAAAATTCTAAATCCGGTATTTTGCTAAACTTAGTTCATATTTTCTTAAATAAATAAAATCAAAACAACTCACTGTATAGTCAGTAAGCTCTGAAGAGTGCTTCCTTTTACAATTTGTTTTATGATCAGTGAGCTGTGAAAAGAATTGCAATCTCGCTTTGCAAAATAGATTTAATGGAAGAATGAAATAATTCAAGGAGCTATGGTTGCATTTTACTTCAAAATGATACGTTTACATAAAATCAAAAAGAAAAATCCCAACTTTGATAATATATTTTCTTTAAATACAATTTTCACTGATAAAGATAGTATGATTATACTGTTGACAGCTGTTTAAAATACTATTACTGTTCACGAGCAGTCAAAGAAAGGTTCGACATATCCACAAGCTGAATGGTATGGGACAAGACTCGTTCTTCAAAATAGTCTATGTCACTCAATCCACAACAGAGACAGAAGTGGCAAATGAAATGAAGAGAAGTCACTCCCCTGTGCTACATAGGACTTATAACTGAACATCCTTTCCCCTCTAATCCTCATTTACTAAGCAGACTCAGGAGTTAAGCAAGACAAAGAGCTCAAAACGTAAGATTAATATCTCTTACTTAAACCAAATCATTATTATATTTGCTTTAAAATATTGTCTTTCTTTTTATTGAATAATACCATGCAGAAATCATGTATACAATCTTCAGAAATATTACATCTTGTGACTCTTTGGGTAAAAAATAACTGTTAATCCTTTAAGTCCTCAAGTCATGACCACAATTAGTCTAGCACTCTACGGGTTTACAGTTGGTAGCATTTTAAAGAATTAAAATGTTTCAGGGGTATTTTTTTCATCTCTCAAGGTAGAGCCTCTACACTAAAAATAGTTTTTCACTGTTATGTCATTTAGTTATCAGCATCACCAATGGGGTTTGTTCACTAAACATTGGCTTGAGGTGAACTGGCAACCAAACTGCAAAACTGCAAACTGCATAGATGAAAATTGCAAAACTGATAGTACTCGTAACTCAGAATCATGTTTAAGCAAATAAGCCCACTTTGATTGAAGCACGGGTGACTTTCTACTAGCCACGTATAAATAAAATGAATTGTTGTATGTATTTGATGTTTATTTATATATTTTGTGTTAACCCAGTTCTTGCAAGAAGGGCATTTAATGTTTTGCAAGAATTATTAGCCCCTCTGAGTATAAAGGGGTTAAAAATAAAATAGAACTGAAAATGGACCTCCTGAGACTGTCTGTATTTCATTCTTTTTTTTCTTCACTCTCTGACAACTACTTGTCCTCATATCCTTCATGCTTATATGTCTAATTAAAGGGAAAAAAGCTGTAAAGATGCGATTTAGGCATTCCAAATGAATATACATAGGAGTAAGATGAATTTTAAAGATTTGGCAATAACAATTCCAGATTTATCTTTATACTGTAGCTAAACAGACTTGATTGTTATTCTCCAATAGCTCTTGCCCTGCAGATGGATTACAGAAAAGCTAGCCTGTTATTATATAATGAGAATATATATTCTCTACGCATGATGAGACAAGCTGTTCTTTTCTTCTATATTAAACAAGATCTGCTTAATGATTGATATTAGTGTCTATACACGGGTTGCATTTTACTTTATAAAAGACATGTGTTTGTATTTTGCATCACCTGGCATAATCAATTATCTCTACGTGGTTTGTGGCATCTGTATTGTAAATTGAGGGATTGTCTGTCTGTCTGTATGGAGAGAAAGATGCCTATATCACTGTACAGTAATGGAATTCTGTCTCTCCATATAGTGATAAATAATATGATGTATTGAGTAGCATAACTGGCGTGTGAAAGTTTGAGCAATTTCACGCTTGAAAACCGTATTTCCATAACAAACAAAAGAAAGACACAAATCCTCAAGTCCCTTTCGTATATGTCTAGTGTGGCTGATATCTTGAAAATACACACTATTTGTCTGCCTGCTCTTGAAAGACTTCTTTAATATCGGTTTAATTCTCTGTACAGTAATTGTAAATACACACAAAGTGACAGTACGTGGGAAAGTACATATTGAACTGTTAACCAATGGGACATTTAAATCCAATATTTTCATTTAAGCTAGTCATTTTAAAGTGGCCATTCAAACAACATAACCACTACAGGTCACTGTATGGCTACAGTGCTTGAAGGTTATAAGTTAAACTTCTTTTTAATTATTTGACACTTACCATGAAGACCCTTCTGATTAACAGAACCCATTTAATATTTTCTGTAATATACATGCCCTCTTTAACTCACTGCAAATTTGATAAGGGACCGTGAAAATGCTGTGGCAGCACTCCCTCTTTTCTGTGGTCTTGGGGACCACTGCATCACTCCTGGCTAATTTATAACAGCTTTACTCTGCAGGTCAATTTAATAATTGAAGACATAGACAAATTCAGATGGATACATTGTTTAATTTAATCAATTTATGTGATAGCACATATTGTGCATTTTATACAGACTGAAGCCTCCTAATTATCCAGAAGGTTTCACCCAAATATGCTCCTTCTTAGGATAAGTAATAATTTTATAATCACCAATATTGTAGTGCTATTGCTGGCACCATTATAACCTCCGTGAATACACATGCATGTAACATGCATGGTGAAAATGTACATGTGATAGCTATTCTTATGGCAAACTCTTGTTTTTACCCTTACTTTCAGAGCATTGAGGCTCTGTTTAAACTGTTAATAAAAATGAATACGTACACTATATATTTTTGGTACAGTAAAACAATACATGCAGCATACATTATGGAACAACAATTTAAATTTTTTATACGTTCTCTTATATCTAGTTTGAAACTTCAGTTTCCATTTATTGTACATAAACTTTTCAATACTCGAATGTATTAATGGTTATTACATAAAATAAAATGTATTATTTATATCCTCTATATCTGGCCTGCATAATTAATAATGCCTGACCAGTTTCAGAGCTACCTTAAAACTGTAGGGCAATTAAATTGATGGGACTCTAATTAACATATTCTAAGTCTATCAGTGTAAGACTATTATGAGTTAAAAAAAAAAAAAAAGTCATAAACATCTATAAAATCCTATATTCAGTGGCTGTAAAAATGCCTACTATTTTTAACAACGAATACATAGACAACTGGCATGGTCATGAACATGATTTACATGGCCTTGGGAAATTATCTCAAGAGTCTGTTCCCCAGCTGACATATCTCACAAGGCTTGTTTCTAGACATAGTTACATTCCATGCTTTCCATAGGATATAAGGACATCTATACAACATTGTATCTATAATAGCCACCTTATTTTTCTTTCATTTTCCTCATCTTTAATAACTTTAGGACTGTCCTATTAGCATTAGTTAATATTGCATTGGGGTAATTTAAAAAAAAATTATGGTTTCCTTTATATTCCTGATTCTTTGTTTTGTGGCCCACAGCATTTTATATTGTTCAAATAAAGTAAATATAAACTACACAACACAACCTTTGTTATGCTTGTGCATGGCGGACAAAATTAGTTTGGCCCAACCACTATGTTTGAAAACACATAAATAGGTCACCAGAATTTAGTCAACTCCATGGTACGGCTCAGCAGAATTTCCTTACAGAAAAAAATTCAGGAATGTTTGCTAATACCTTTGCCCTAAAACTAGGGACCACTTTAGGAACCCAGACCACTTCAGCTCAATGATGTGGACTGGGTGCCAGGTCCCCCTAATTTTAACCCTGGAGCTGAAAACATAGCAGTTTCAGAGAAACTGCTATGTTTACACTGAGGGTTAAATAGCCACTAGGGGCTGCTTCCACGATTTACACGGAGTAAATTTCACTTGTTTGATGCTGGATGTCCTCACGGAGTCTAGTGTAAAAAGATCCCCATAGGAAAGCATGGAGTAATGCTTTCTTATGGGCCGGTTTGAATGCGCACCCGCCTCTGGCCACACATGCACATTCGGCTCCACTCGGAAGCTGGTGTCGATGGAGGAGAAGAAGTCACTAGTGCCGAGGGAGTCCGGGCGCTGGATTAAGGTAAGCAAAGAAATGAAGTCACTAGTGCTGAGGGAGTCCGGGCGCTGGATTAAGGTAAGCAAAGAAATGGTTAATTAACCCTTTATTCACTGTGGAACAGGGCCCTAGTCACCCTAACGGGGACTAGGGCTCTATAGCGTTAGGAATACATAATTGTATTCCTAACGCTATAGTGTTCCTTTAATACTATTAATAGTGTTGCTGGCAGCAGTGGAAGCAGTGATGGTGGAGGTAACAGCAGCAATTATGGCTGAGGAAGAGTTGTTTAGACTCTCAGGGGCTATGGTACTATTGCTAATGGAAGATTGTGAAACATGACTCCTTCCTCTACCCTCCATTAATCACTTCTTTAGATTAGGACATAATATTGATTGAACGGTGAGCTCGTTTTTCTTATTTACTTTACATGTGGGTTATGTATGAGTGTGTATTGTTTAAATTAACACAACTTTATTCAACAAAAACAGGTGTTTGTAAGGCAAAATGGTGTGTTGTTTGGTGGATTTACTACTGAAACCATATTGTGTTTGACTTTAAGAAACACTACACTCACAGAGCACACACTGGACTAAAAACACACAGAAAAAAAGGTCTAGTTATTTCCTTCTTGTTTAGCTCAGTGGAGCAAATCTCAAGAAGCAAGCTCAGTGCATCTGCCTTGTAAAGACTTCTCATTTAGCTGTATCTGGAAGTTGTGATTGGACAGGCACAGAAACTCACGGCTGGGTTAGAAATGGAGGACTTGAATAGGCTTCAAACTAGAGAAATGCAGCTTTTGTAGGCTTTTGTCAGAGCTATAAAAAAAATCCTAATTAAATACATGAATGTTTTCATTGGTGGTACATATACTAAACAGTAATTTTGTTGTATTTTGTTAGTGGAGTCAGTTTAACAAAAAGAAAAACTTTAAAAAACCTCTGCATTGGTGATTCCAAGTTGGTGTTAAGTGACACTGGTTAGCAGTAGGATACTACACTAACCGTAACCATCAGTGTCTCACTAGGATGAATGGAGCAGGCCAACTACCTCTCAAACTTTGTATATGGCAGTAACTAGACAATAAGATTAGATTTTATGATGTATAACGTATTCCCTAAAAAAAGAAAATGTTCTACACACAGTAAACAACAAAGAAAAAACTGTAAATTGGTAATGGTAACCTAGGCTCACACTATGAAACACGACGCAATTTAAATCTCCTATCATTCAATGTTGTTTTAATGACACATACAGCAGTGAGCAAAACTTAAAGTCTCACACAAAAATCAATGCTACAGGCTATCTTCTACTCCCACACAGGCACAGCAAAGATAAAAAACACAGTATCACGGCTTGTTTATATTCCTCAGTAGCTGCAGTCAAAGTGTCTGGAAGAATCTTGTTTGGAAGTATATATTATTTTACTGCTCCTCCTTTTTTAACTCTATTGGTTAGTTGTTACTTGATCTGTGGATAAAATCAATATTTACTGGCTGTCCTCTGAGCAGGGCCGTCTTTAATGCAGGGCAAACAGAGCAGCTTCCCTGGGCCAGTTACTCCTGGGGGGCCAAAGCAGCTGCCATGGGGTCCCTACTGCACGCAAAAAAATATTTTTCTGCCCCACGGCCCACCGGTGCTGCGGCTGCACCGGAAGGCCATACACTAAGGGGGCCCATGGTTATTTCTCAAAAGGGGCTCAGTCGGGCGCTGTAGCCCTTTAACAGCGCGACTGTGCTCCTTGCATAATGGCAGCCGGCTGGGAGGTAGTGACAGCTGTGAGTCACTTCCTCCCAGAGAGAGTGAAGCTGCAAGAAAGGAAGGAGGAGGCCACCAGGAGAGGGCACTGATGTGGAGTGCCAGAGCCACTCACTCCCAAGTACTGCAGCCTGCCATTGCACCTCAGGGAAGCCACCCTCCTGTACTAATGAGGTAAGAAACTGGAGGGTGGCTTTACAAATTTAAAGTTTGCATGTTTGTTAGTATGGATGTCTATCTGTGTGTCAGTATGTCTCTGTGTGTTTATGTCTGTGTGTATCAGTGTTTGTCAGTATATGTGTCTGTCAGTGTGTCTGCCAGTTTCTGTGTTCGTATGTCAGTATGTCTGCCAGTGTGTGTTCTTATGTCAGTATGTCTGTCAGTGTGTCTGTGTGAATCATGATGCCTGTCAGTGTTTGTGTCAGTATGTCTGTCAGTGAGTATCTACATGTTGTCAGTATGTGTATCTGTTTGTGTGTCAATGTGTATATCTGTGTATCTGTATTTAGTCAGTATACAGTACACCCCTCACAATTTTGTAAATATTTTATTATATCTTTTCATGTGACAACACTGAAGAAATGACTCTGCTACAATATAAAGTAGTAAGTGTACAGCCTGTATAACAGTGTAAATTTGCTGTCCTTTCAAACTAACTCAATACACAGCCAGTAATGTCTAAACCATTGGCAACTCATTGACATGCAAATCAATTTATAACTTTTTTGACATGCGTTTTTCTGTTTTTTTCATATTCTGTCTCTCACTGTTAAAATACACATACCATTAAAATTATAGACCGATAATTTCTTTGTCAGTGGACAAACGTTCAAAATCAGCAGGGGATCAAATACTATTTTCCCTCACTGTAGAGGGTTAAAGGGTTACTCCAACCACCATGACCACTTAAGTGATTTGAAGTGGTCATGGTGGCATGAGTCTGGATGTACAGTGATTCAGCTTGAAACAATGCTCAAACTGAGTACTTGGCATCTCTGTGCTAGGGGCTAGTGGCATCCCCAGCATATGTGATTTTGCTAGTGTCAACTCTGTACATCAGCGTGCACACAGCATGCTGCTGACAAATGTAAAAATCTTCCCCTTACAGCCAGAGCGCCTGCAAGGGGAAGCTAACTTTCCCCCCTCCCTCCCTGTGGGTGCACTCTCCTACCTTTAATATCACATTAGTATTTAAATATTGCTTATTTTAATTATCTGTTGACACTATCAACTGATAAAAATTAGAAGTCATAAATAATGGAATTACTTAAACATTCTTGAACCATACATATAAAATTTAATAACACTTAAATATGTACTGTGAATGTAAATAATGATGAACTATGTCAGCTGTGATTTTAACTTACAGTCATTCCCTGTAACATATTGGTAGCACTCCTTATTATATCCTTAAGTAAAAAGGTAAGCCTGCCAGAGCCGCCTGTCAATATGCCCATTATTCTTAGGTAGTGTGTCAAGAGTGGCAGGTTTTGTTAAAATTGGCTACAGCACAATCAATGTTTATCCAGTTGCCGGGTGACTGGGTCAAAGACTGGATGGATGCCTGGGACCGACAGCTTTGTAAATTTGAATACAAGCAGTTACCAAATTAAGGTACTGTCTGACTGAGCAAGGTTGTCTACACTAATCATTGCTACACGTTCTTCTTTATATTATTGTGACTATGTGATATCATGAGATGTGGTGAAGCCGGCACTTATTAAAAGAATAGATGATAATAAATAACTACAATGTTTTTTGCAATTTGTTCTAGTAGTAATGTATTTCAAAATAAAAAGTATTTTTTAGATTGCACAATCAGAGTTATTATAGCACAATGGCTGACCTCATTAAGTTACCTCATGCTTTATAGAAAATATGAACCTTTGGACTCGGATTTTTGTAGTCTATTCATATGCTGCATTCTATAGTGTCTGTTGTTGTTATTGCTAAGTTTGTACATATTCCCTTGTACATATTTTTCTATCCCTTTCTTCTAATAAAAATTCATAAAAAACAAAATAAAACCAAAACATTATAACCTGAATGTGCTTGTTTCATCCCTATTTATAACAACAATACAATTAAATGTGCTATATTGAGTTTTGGTGGTTAAAGCACAAATTAAAAAAATTAGGTGCAATGATTAGCATTATAACTGTTTTACCTTGTCATCCATTGAGATCAAAATTATTCTATATGTTAGTTAATGCCATGTATAGTGTCTGCGAATTTTAGAAACAATAACCTAAATTTTCTAAATTGTTTTTCAAATCAATACAATACCAGTCAATTTACTGTTTAGTGAATAAATCCCTCACTCTAACTTTACACGGGTATTTATTGAAATCTTTATACACCATGCCTATTAATTACCAGTCACTGTGAAATTTTGAAGCATGGAAACAGCCACATGTTGAAACTTCATTGATTTTAAACAGTACTAGCTTGTTGGTAACTGATTGCGACAAGCACCTGAACGAGCCGCTGGTGTTAAAGATGGGGTTGCTCCTGAACAGTGAGAGATTACTATGAATCAGCAAAGGTCTCCCAATCCCAGCCTATTCAGCGATGCGGCAGGTAGGAATAGGTAACAGTAAAGCTACATGATGTATTCTCAACATTCGAAGAGGCTTTTTTTTTTTTTTTAAACTGCCAAATTTATTTCTGTCTGGTGGAGATTTATTAAAGTGTTCTCAAAACGGTCTCTTAAATGGCTCAAAAATATGTTCACATTTATAAAACATTTTTAGATTTAGTCTAGTATACTAACAGCTTGCACCATAATTATGTCCCACTAATATCGTACACATGTTCTGCCTCGTTTTCTATACCAAGATAAATGCAGACTAAAAACTCGCCATTTAACCCCTTAAGGACCAAACTTCTGGAATAAATGGGAATCATGACATGTCACACGTGTTCTTAAGGGGTTAATAGACTACTTTACTTGTAATTAAATAAACACATAAAAAAATGAATAAATTAAATATGCTGTAGAAAAAGTAACAAAAAGAAAATTATGGAAAAGGCACAAAAGTAAAATAAATAGTGGAACAAACAACATGATGATAAAAAATCATTGCATTTTGCACAGTGGAATTTGTAATCAACTGTAGTTATTATCACTGAGGAGGGGAGAATAGTTCTCAAAAGCTTGTGTTTTAAACATTATGTTAGTCCAATAAAAGGTATCATAACATACTGCAATACTCAGCTTCCTCCTCATGCTCTGCCATTTTGGTACCTAGCTGCTAGGTTACCACACTCAACTTGAAATTTGCGGGCTTCCCAGCTTAGGATGGCATTCGATATTGTACATATGGCTTTCATTCAGCCATGCTGCATAATAAATATTTTTTAAATACATTCGGCCTTCATTCATGCACCTTACATAGTCGCTGTGTTTCAGTACTTTTGGCCTATGTTCAGCCACGCTACATATTCTCTGTGCTTCGGTACTTTCAGCCTATGTTCGACTACTCTACGTATTTAGTGAGGTTCAGTACATCCGGCCTACTTTCAGTCACACTACTTATTTACTGTGTTTCAGTACATTCGGCCATGCTACATTTGCAATCTGCTTCAATACATTCAGCCTACATTTGGCCACGTTATAAATTCACTGTGGTTCAGAGGATTTGGCCTACATTTGACCATGCTACATATTCACTGTGGAGCACTTATGGTATTCACACAGTGGACGTGATACCTTATATGAACATACAATACCTCAATGAAAGAGCTTTAAATAGAACCCCTTGATATAAAATAGTGGTGTATACTTTTTAAAAAATTTAATGAAAACAATAGTGTAAAAACAAAACAAAATAACAATACATATGAAGAAGTGACAATTGCACACTTACATGCTGCAGAGCTCAAAACTCTGTTAGCTTGTTCTCAGTTTTCTACATTCTGCACTAGGTTACGGTGTCATTTTAGCCAATCTTACCAACTAATTACATCTTTAAGTCCTTGATGTTACCTTCCTAACGACCTGGGAAGCTTCGGTTGTATGTACAGTTCCTTTATCAATCAAGGTACAAGAATGTTTCATCATTAGGAGGCGTTGTTTTATATAATTACAAGTTTAGGTAGTTTCATTTTTTGCCTTAATTTTTTTAGGCCTACCCTGTTCGTTGGTTTCAGCACACCACAACTAACTTGCTATTACTGGTATAGCTCACACTGTATGGTATGCCTCAGCTGTTTTGAGGTTTAGTAGATTTTAAACCTTGCTTCTAACATTTAATATCATGCAAACAAAATGGACAAAAACAACAACAAACAAAATCAAACTGTTTATTTACAAGATGAATTATTATTGTTCCAGAGGGATCAAGAATGCATAGTTATGATGCAAACAAGGTAAGCAGAATAGAACATTGTCATCTGCAATGAAGTGGTTACAGTTTATTGATGCTCATAATGCATACAGAATTATAGCAAATAATAATTAAGTGTAAACTATGACAATTATTAACAATGACATTTTCTTGCAGGTCATTATCAGTATTATCACATAAAACAGATTAATCATCCAGTTAGTCCAATTAAGCACTGTATTACTACCACGTCTCATTTTAATTAGGCACTTCTGCATTTTTTAAAGGTCATCCTGGAAAAGTAAACATGCACTTTTCAAACATTAAACACATAAAACCTTGTAATTTTACATGACTTGTTTGACAGTTACAAGCTATTTTGACCTTAATGTGACACTTTTGAAATTCATATACCATTGGTACAAAACTCAGCATGTTGACTATTTCATTACACTCTGGCTTGTAAGTCTAACTATGGCAGCTAATAAAATATTTAAAGGTGAAATACTTGATACCGTCCTCTTAAAATTACATATTTCTACCGTACATCGGTTTTAACAAGGGCTTAATGCTTTAAGTGTGAATTCTCAGCTACTGTTTTTAAACCATAGATGCATGCTACTTGTGTAACTTAAATTTCACACAAGAACGATACTATTTCAGGGGTATTAAGTTTTATATGTTTCATTACATAATCTGTTAAATGATATACTAGTGTGTGAAGTCTGTATGTAGTAAACACTCAATAGACCAGAGATAAAAATACAACCAGACACACAAAAAAATTGCTTCAAAAAAAATTCAGACAGACTAAAATAAAATGGATACCATTAAAAGGGTACAAAAATGGTACAAGGGTACAAAAAATTTAATAATCTCATATGTTATGGCTCCTTATCAATCTACAAGAGAAACAACATTTTTAAATGTGTAAATTGTTATACAAAAAAAAATCTGCTCCCCTAAAAATATCCAATAGAAGCAGCATTAAGAGTGCTGTCATCTGCCCCTTGCAACTCCTGGGAGTTTTTCTTGAGTGCTTTGCACTCTGCTTGATTATTGTTTCATTTAGTTTCTTTGTTCAAGTGTGTGTTTTTTTCTCTTTTAGAGAATGAATAACAAACGTACCACTAGTCGCCGTGAAATTTTGTCACATGATGCTGATGGACTCAAAAACTTTTGGGAGAAGAAAATTGAAAAACAAACTGTTGCGTATAAGTATGAAGATGCCAGAAGGAGCAACAGTGCTCTTTCAAAGTGAGTAAGAAAAATAAGCAAATACCAATAATAAATAAATAAATATGTCAAACTGATTGATGTTGGCTAAATTAACTGACAACGGTAGCTGAAAGTCAGAGATTGTATATTTATGTTTTACATACTAGATAAATACAACATACACTTTAGTGGGACACTCTACTCACTAAAACAACTTTAGCTGGTAGTTTTGGTGTATAGATCATGCCCATGCAGTGTCACAGCCGAGTTTTCTGCCATTTAAAATTTGAATCACCTTGTTAATGCAGATAGCCACACCTCCCCTGCATGTGACTTACACTGTCTCTACACACGTCTTGCAAAGAGATATCTCATTTTTAAACAGCATTTATTGCATAGTGTGTTTATTTTAGAATTTTCTGCTCTTTTAATACTCTGATAGAGACTGCTGAAGCATAGTGCGTGTGATTAATGTTCAATTAAAAAACAGGAAATAAGAACTTCTAAAGTAAGCAAACTGTGCTGTGAGATGTGATTAAAAATTAATCCTTTTTTATGTTGACTGTGTGAATTCCATCCAGAGTAGGTGTGGCCAGAGCTGCAAAAACAGAAACAACAAAAAAAAAGGTTTAACTGCTAAATGGCAGAGATTTGAGCGTTGAGACTGCAGGGACATGATCTATACATTAAAACTGCTTTATTAAGCTAAAGTTATTTTGTATCGTTTTAGCTCTGTCTTATATACCTGGTTTCATGCCACAAGTTTGGTGGTGAGTCCATAGAACAACATTTACTTTTTATTCCTTCTTTGATCTATAGGATATCACTTTGGAACTTTGAGCCTTAACGCAGTACTTAATTAATTTATACACCTTTCTCCCTTTATATTTTCCACAATAGTTTCCACTTACCTATTCTATAGAAGAACCTAGTAGTGCTTAATAAACAAAATTAATTATAATTTCTTATAATAGTTCCTGTTGGTATTTTCGGTAGCTGCATTAGTCCAGCATTAGTGGAAAATGTGTCCTTAAAGGGACACTGTAGGTACTTTAACAACATCATCTTTTTCTCGACTCGTATACCATAACATACTGTGACATCACGTGCATTATGCACAGTGCATCATGGTCAGCCATAGATAATCATTGAATGCAATTGTAGGCACATCACAAGCTCCTCTATGAGCATTGGACAGGCCCATCATGCTGGAGGCACACCTCCAGGATGACACAACCCAAAGAGAAGGAGCTGGAGAAAGTGAGTTATTTAGTGTATGTTTTTATTTTAATTAATTTACACAGAAGAGGGGCCTAATTGATAAGTGTTACGGTACCTTCAGCATGAAATGCACAAACCGCCGTTTAGTGAATGCTCCCTGTTCGCAGTAATGTTGTCTGTAAGCGTATGCAATACAACCATGCGAACTGCCAGCCAGGGAACATTCCAACCTCCCGAACGGTATCCGTATGGCTCCTTCCCTTCACGAGCCACAAGCTCACGAACTGCCAATATCAGCCGAACGCCAATATCTTCCAAGCGGCAAATAATTCCAAATAGCAGTCTCTAGTCGCCGGTAATAAAATCCCCCCAATAACGAGACCAAGCTCTGCATTGAGGGTAAAACACGAACTGAGTTTACTGTGGGCTACCCGCCCGTATTTATGCAGGTCTCCCACTTGGTGGACATTCCCCTACGGGACCAAATGGGAGACTGGAATAGCAGATGGACATGGGGACATTCCAGACATACAATCACACAATATTCCCAGCATACATCACAGTTTCCTCCCCTCTGCCCGGGAGATCATTGAGAAGTAATTCAATTATCTCCCCGAGCAGAGGCAAATCACCATTTTAAATACAAGTCACAAAACACATAAAAATACATAACTTTATAACTGCCGAACGTTTCTCATTCGTGTAACACATCCCCAGATAGCCTGGATCTGAGTGCATTTTATTGACGAATAGCGCTCAGATCCCATACGCATAGTTCAATCGCCATGTAGTCAAAGTCTATTACAGTTCTTCGGTATGCGATTGACTCCATGGGAAGGCTATCTGGCGTAAGTCCATTCGTGCCTTTACATCTCCCGAACGGCCGGTGTTCGCATACTTTTGTGGATTGGAGAAGGGAGGTCGACGGCATTAGCGGTGTTCGGTTGAAAAAGTGTCTGTTTTCAGTTCCATGAATTTATTACCGAACACCGCTGGTCTTTCGCATGGTTTAAAATGGCCGTCGCCTCGTGGTCGACATACGAACGACGACCATAGAGATGCATTGATTCAATGTATATCTATGAGGAGATGCTGATTGGCCACGGCTGTGTTTGAATCATGCTGACTCTGCCCCTGATCTGCCTCTTTGTCAGTCTCACCCAATCCTATGGGGAAGCACTGTGATTGGATCAGGCTACCACTTCTGATGATGTCAGCAGACTACTTTTTTTTTTAGGGAAACAGCATGCAGAGTTACAGCTTCAGGCTTGAATACAGTAAAATTATGCTATATTTATGGAGGCATGAAGGGCCCAGGGGGGCTAGATGGTGGTTTTAACACTATAGGGTCAGAAATATATGTTTATGTTTCTGACCCTATAGTGATCCTTTAATGTAGTCCATGACAGTATAGAAGGCAATCATTTGGTCAGCTTTGTCAATTAAATCTGCAGTGTAATTCTGTACCCATATAAACTAAAAAGAAAGGGGAAGGAAAATCACTGATGCAAAACACCATATCAAAGTGAAAGCTTAACACAATAAAGCAATAGTTTAATACATTAGAGGAACAAGCTTCTCCATAGGAAATCAATAAATCAGTGCTCTCCTATAATGGCTTCTGTGTCATGTGACCAAGTTTTTTTCACACGACAGCCACTAAAGGTGGACTTAACCCTGCAATGCAAACATTACAGTGTCCAAAAATGTTTGTGTTCATTTACATTAAGGTACCCAGACCAAATAATTAAGATAAAGTGGCATGAGTGAATTTAGTGGTCCTTTGCAGAGGCGTAACTAGAAACCACGGGGCCCCAGTGCATTGGGGCATTGCCCTGGGGCCCTCCCATACATCTATCTCCTACCCCACACGCCCCCCCACACACATGTAGACAAACAGATACACATGCAGACAAATACAAACAGACACACACACACATACACACACACAGAGACCCATACATACATGCATACAGACACATGTAGAGACACACACACTTACACTCATAAACTCACAGACACACTCAGACACACATACACTTACAGACACACACGCACATACACTTACAGACACATACACATTCACACACACACATTCACTTACAGACACACACACATACACACACACTGAGACACACATACACTTACAGACACACACACATACACTCAGACACACACACTCACAGACAAACACATACACACACACTCAGACACACACATACACACACACACACACTCAAATGCACATACACTCACACACTCAGACACACACATACACATTCAGACACACTCACAGACACATACACACTCAGACACACACATACACATTCAGACATGCACAAATACACTCACAGACAAACATATAGACACACACATATACATTCAGACACACACACATATGCACACTGAGACACACATACACTTACAAACACACACACATCAGACATACACATACACACACAAATTATTAATAGGTAATGTCCACCCAGCCTCCCTACTTGGAGAGCTGGCATGGACCTGTCCCTGGGGTCCAGTGGGGCTTCAGTGTGGCGGGAGGCAGAGTTTCTGTCATACGTGGCGAGGGAGCTGTGTTCTCTCTGATCTGCTCCCTCGCGGGCTGTCTATTGATGCAGGCTCCTGGCATCAGCAAACGTCCCATAAGAGAGCAGATCAGAGAGAACACAGCTCCCTCGCCGCGTGTGACAGGAACTCTGTCGCCCGCCGGGGGGTCCATTAAGTGGCCAGTCGGCCACCTCTTGGGTCCCCCTTTGACAGGGGGAATACGGAGGGGGCGGCATCTCGCGGGCCCACAGTCGGAAGGGTCGTGGCTGCGGCTGGGCCCCCTGCAGTGAGGGGCCCGATCGCAACCTAGACCCCTGCGACCGTGATAGGTACGCCACTGATCCTTTGAAATATGTATACATAAAATGTAAGACATCGAAGATTTACATGGTACATTAAGATCACCACTTGCCTAATATAATGTAGGAACTCTTTGTGCTGCCAAAACAGCTCTGATGCGTCGAGACACGGGCTCCATAAGACCCCTGAATGTGTTCTGAGGTATCTAGTCATTAGCAGCAGCTCCTTTAAGTCGAACAAGTTGTAAGGTGGGGCCTTCATGGATTCCTTTGTCAATTGCTCTGTGCTCCAGGTCTGATACTCATGACCCCATTGAAGACAATTTCAGTGATGAACAAGGATCATCATAAGCACTCTGACAGGTCTGTGGATACGCAGTCCAATACGAATGCACTGTATGCTCTGACCCCTTTCTATCATGGCCAGCACTACATACTTCAATTTCAGCTAGAGTAGCTTTTCTGCAAGACTGGGCCAGACGAGTTTGCCTTCCCTCTCCATATGCATCTATGAGCCTTGGTCGTCCATGACCCTGACACTGGCTTACCGGTTGTCTTTTCTTGCACCACTTTTGGAAGGTACTAACCTTCATAATAGTTTCATATTTTCCATGTCTTCATTTTCTTTCCATATACATCTAGAAGAGTTATATACGGAAAACAAATTACTCAGATTATTTTTCTCTACATAGTGTATAGTGACTGTTAATAGCATTTCTATAAACATCCTTTCGGTCTGTGCAAAAGTGTTTATAACCTTCAAACATCTCATTCTTTCAAGTGTTTAGTACCATCCATAGTACCATGCTCCATATTTGTAGATTTATCTAGAACCACATTTGAATCCATTTTGATAAAGACGCTGTAACATAATAGTTTTGTACTTATTAAGCAAAATGACTTTGAAAATGTCCCCAGTTCAGCTATTTTGTCTCCAAATTTGAAATTCACTTTGAATTCTCACTTAAGTAAATAACCCTTATGGTGTTGATATACAGTCAGGCTAGAGGCTGAAGATAAATTAATTATATATAAAGTGTCATTTGAAGAGAGACTTACCTGTCAGAGCTCTGTTATTAGTTGGCTTACACGCCAAGCAATTACAGTGCTCCTACTGAGATTACAAGGTGGGAAAGGCTTTCACTGGAACCTTTACTAATTGGCATTGTAGCAGAGTCGCATCTGTTATGGTATCATTTTTTGCATAACCTTTGGGTAAATGCAAAAAAAATGTGTATACCTGTGTATATTTTTCTTTTCATCTTTTACTATTTATATATAAACTTAATGTTTTTATTTTATGAAACTGTGTTTATTTTAACCCATAAGTCTCTAAATTGTATTAAAGAAATCAATCTTTCTTTCCTCACCGACAACTAATTTAGGTTACTTTTATTTATTTATCTTTTATTTTTATTCCAATCTTCACATATCATATTTTTTTTAAAGGATCACTATAGGGTCAGGAACACAAACATGTATTCCTGACCCTATAGTGTTAACACCACCATCTAGCCCCCTGGGCCCCTCATGCCTCCATAAATATAAAAAAATCTTACTGTATTCAAACCTGAAGCTGTAGCTCTGCATGCTGTTTGCCTAAAAAAAAACAAGCAGTCTGCTGACATCATCAGAAGTGATAGCCTGATCCAATCACAATGCTTCCCCATAGGATTGGCTGAGACTGACAAAGAGGCAGATCAGGGGCAGAGCCAGCATGATTCAAACAAAGCCCTGGCCAATCAGCATCTCCTCATAGATATACATTGACTCAATGAATCTCTATGAGGAAAGTTCAGTGTCTGCATGCAGAGGGAGGAGACACTGAATGTTTGGATGCATTTTAGGCAGCCATGACCCAGGAAGGATCTCTAACAGCTATCTAAGGAGTGGCCAGGGAAGTTGTCACTAGGCTGTAATGTAAGCACTGCATTTTCTCTGAAAAGACAGTGTTTACAACAAAAAGCCTGAAGGTAATGATTCCACACACCAGAACAAATATAATAAGCTGTAGTTGTTCTGGTGACTATAGTGTCCTTTTAAATTCTTCTCTTATTTTTGAATGTTTTAATTTAAACAACAAATATGTTTGCAACCTTTCAATTTAATTCTTTTTCTCCTAAAGATTTACAATCTTATAATAAGAAAAAAGTATGATGGCAGTTTACATCATGAAACTGTAGAATAGGAGAAGGAAATTGTAAACAAATTCTCTCTATTATCAAACGTATAGTTCATCATGTTAGTATGTTAGCACAAGCATTTTGTACGGCTCCAAGTAATAATGGGAAAACCTATGAACTGGTCTCTGTATAAACTAAAGTTTATCATCCTGTGCTTCTGGGCATATACTCATTTTTCCATAAACATTTGCTGGGCAGGCGTATAAGATGAGACCCATAAATCAAAATAAGTGGTATACCTGAAGCCACATTGTGCAATGTATAGTTATAGTTATATATGTCCATACCTCCAATAATTTGGAGGTATCAAATCAGGCAAATTGTGCAGGCCTAAAGGGGTTTGCCAGTTACACCACTTGCATTAAACAGGGGATCATTTCTAACCACACAGAATACCGTACATATACACATAAGAGTATGAGTCTGTGCCGGAATGAGCTTATGTATCTGTGATGGGAAGGTGCTAGAGATCCTCGAGACTGCGTACGGAAGGAATGTGGGTAGGAGGATGAGGGAGATTGATACAATTACAGTAGGAAGAAATATATGAGTGGGGGGGTGATATAAGGAACAAAGTGTATACATTTCCATTTCGGAAAATGCAGGTATGGATATATAAGGAAGTGTGTGTATGAATTGTCCATGTGTTGAATACAGTGTGTATAGGAAAGGCTTAAAATGTTAAGTCCTTTGCTACTAGCCAGGCCTAAAAGTTACTTGCCAGAGCCTGGAGGATCCATGCCATACTTACCAGAGGTAATAACTACTCATTGCCACTGGCTAGTGAACATGTTGAGCTCTGTGTTTATATAAAAGCATAAATGAGGAAGAATATATTTGACATGCACATGTGTATAGAGTGAATGTATGGACCTATGAGAGTCTGCATTTATTTTATTTTTTTTGTTAGGGTATTTGTGTACAAGGAATAAAATATGTGTGCCTATTCATGAGGGGAAAAGATAATGAATGCTATATATACACCTTATTTAAATTATTGATCTTCTTTCACCACATATGTAATGCTAGTTTTTTTTTTTTTATCACTCTCCAAATTAGTACCAGGTCTCAAAATAAACAGCTAAATTTAATTTTAAGACAAAGATTTGTTTGATTAGGTACATTCATTTATATTACAAGCTACAGACATTGTTGACTTGATGAAGACAGAGCTTGGAACTCTCTGTAACGCAGTGACTTGCAGGTTCACATCTTGTGTATGCCATAATTAACAAACAAGAGAAACTTGATGACACACTAGCTATATGATATTCATTGGTATGAAGGTTTTTGGCAATCTTCACATACATTACATTGCAGTGACAAGACGTCTAGTCATATCTTACATACGATAGATTTATGATACCCTTCATGTCACATGTGGTACGTTTGTTTTATTTTGTTTTTTAAATCCAACTCGATGACATGTAGTATCTTTCAATTAACCATGCTAGTGAATCTAAGTTACTCACTAGTCATCCATGTCAAGCAATATGTAAAATAAAAGCATGCATTTATTTATATGCCATATTATTTACATATTATAATTTATCTAGCTTTAAGAGGCCATATCATTTTTTACAATTCGTTTCTTAATTCTGACAGTTTTATATCGTCTAGGACTTGCAATAAGTAACATTCCTAGGGCAAACTATACATACCGACAGCTTAGCATGCATGGAGAGATAGTATCCTAGGCCCGAATTAATTCTATTATTATTATTATTATTATTATGTTATTTATATAGCGCCATCAAATTCCGTAGCGCTTTACAGTGGGTGGACAAACAGACATGTTGTAAACAGTTGTAACCAGACAAGTTGGACACACAGGAACAGAGGGGTTGAGGGCCCTGTTCAATGAACTTACATGCTAGAGGGAGTGGGGTAAAATGACACAAAAAGGTAAGGATAGTATTAGACTAGTGACAGTTGCAGAAGAGGAATCAGTCGGGAGCTATTAACAGTTTAATTGATACGCTTTTATGAAGAAGTGGGTTTTTAACGATTTTTTGAAGGAGTGGAGACTGGGTGAACATCTAACGGAGGAGAGATTATTTATCTATAATTATATGTATATTTCATAATTATATCTATATTTCATAATATATTGACACTGCAGAAAGTTCTTGAAAACCAAATATAAACACTGGGAAATATAAACACTGGGAAAAAACTAACAGTCTGTCTGACTGGCCCCCAGCAAGTATGACTATGCAGAGAACGCTGTCTAATGAAGTGCTAATGACGTGCACACGCTGTGCTGCCCGATGACAAGTCTCTGGTGTAGAGCCCCAGATGAAGGCACAGTTTTTTAGTGCTGAAAAGCTAGTCACTTACTTTTTCTTTGGCCTTATGCCTGAATTTATTTTGTGTCTATGGGATCCGTGACTACAAGGGTAGTGTACCTTAGAATAATGCAAACTTTTTTTTTTCTTAGTTTTCTTGTTTCTATTAGTTCAGCAATTAGGGACAGCAGACTCAGCATGGTATGTAGGAGCCTTGTGTCTCTCTGATATAGCACTATCCTTTTTACAATTCTATGCATATTTAAGGCTCTTCTTTGAGGGAATTGTTTTGGTATGTAGGAGTCTTTTACTTTGAGGTAATAAATGCTAGTTCTTTGCTTCCTATCCTATGGTTTGGTATGTAAGCGTCCTGGGGACTCTGAGGTATAGCATGAGCCTTTATTAGGATTATTTTCTAAAATATGACAGGGAGATCTTGGACAATTATTCACTTAGTTTTGGTTAACATCTAAGCTTGTTCTAATTAACTTGAGTTGCCTCTGGGGGACTTACACTTTGAGTACAAAACCTTGTAACATTGTTTCTGCAAACTTTAGTTCCTCATAGGGTCGGACTGAAGGGTGTTATCATTTAAGTAAGAAACAGTGTCTATTTATACTAATATTTGACACAATATCCCCATGAAGATATACATGCTTAATAATAATGCGCTCTACATTATTATAATATATACCACACTGGATGTATGCTGACCACTTTCATTTATGAACATTTTTAGTAGATATGCCCTCCACACTCAAGCTCCAAATAGAGGATATTCTCAATAGAAGCAGAAATTTGGTAGTCTTTTGCCCAACTTTTTCCTTTTTGGCCTTAATACTTGATATATTGATATTGATAATATGTTATTGCACTATTATTATTATCTAATCACTTAATTTATTTGTTAAGTTAGGAAGCACAAGCACGATAACTAACATATTGAGCTAATTAAATCAGGGATTCTCCAGTTTCATCCCCAACATGGGGATAATATATATTTACCAGTTCCTTGGTGTCCCCAGTTGCAGGACACTAGGGAACAACATCGAGACATCGGGACAGGAATCTGAAATCATACTTTACCACTGAAACCGGGACTGTTGAGAGGACTAAAATGATATAAAACTATATGTATCCCTTCATCTTTCTCCATCTCTGTCTGTTGGCTACGTGTTTCTCTCCTCCCTTCTATTGCTCCCACCTCTGAATTGCTATTTGCGGTTGCATTGAAATCTATGCATTACTTATTTCAAACAGAACTGTGAGTGATGAAGATAACATCACACTTACTTCTGCCCTGTGCTTAGTAAGAGTTAGGTATATCAAGTACAGCTCTTTATGAAATAAAAATGAACTTTAGCAATAGACATATAATCCCACCACTAGTAGGTAAAATCAGGGCAGATGATTATAAATTGACATTAGGCAATAGACAGGAGATAACTAGGATGCAAATTATTAGAAAATTAAAATTAAAATAATGCACAGTATAGAGTTGTAAACACTCAATAGAACTTGTCACATCTTGCAGTAAGATGAAACAGGAAATGGGTATGAAACTTCCTCGACCTGAGATGCTTAAAGAACATTGAAAATGTTAGCATTAATACAAGATTTTTGATGTGTGTTCTTTTGGTGCTCAGCAATCATTGCTATACAAGCTCACAAACCAAAAAAGGAACACAAGATAACACATTTATTTTTTTGATATTTTTGGATATCTGTGATACTGAAGTTCATAATATCAGATCTACCAGGGTCCAACACTTTTTTGTTGTTGTTTTTTTTTGTTACTTGAAAATGATGTGTAATGGATAGTAAGGCCTGTGTATTGGCTCACTAGATCTATGATTTACACCAGTATAATGTGATTTATAAGCAGGATAATGGTGCTTCAGTATTTAATTTCTTCTTGTGGCGCAGTACCATCTCAGTCAGATATTCCAGCTAGTAAGCCTCTGTAAGTCATTATTTTGCAGAGATGGCAAAAAAAAAAAATAGAAAACGTTTAGTAAATCAACCCCATTGCAAACTGACAATTGTGATGTCCAAAGCCAAAATATTATATGTGTTTTGGTGTGTATGCTATTATTCACCTATGCATTGAGGTTTATTGAGCAAACAGTGGGACAATGTACCTAGGACAGTAAAATGGGTGATTTTCTACAACGTGATTAATTTCTTAACTCTTCACTTTTTACTGAATAGACACTATACTATTTCTCACATATGGTGTTTATATACTAAGTAATGTTTTATATTTTGCAGACTTAGAGAAGAATGGAGACAGCGACTGGAACATAGAATTAATATGTTACAGTCTCTCCAAGAAGAACAGAGGAGACAACTTTATGCGACACCAAAGGAGTCTTTCCACCCCAAAGCAAATACCGCAGCCTAAAACATGAGCAAAAAAATCTGATGTCAAGTATAGTGCATTATTAAAGCAAAGAAAATCATGCAAACTATTTGCAAACACTGTAAAACTTAATTAATGAATCTGTGTGATGAGGCTTCTTGTATTTAATATTTTTCCATAATCTTTTCAGATAATGAGGAAATTAATTTATTTTTTTATTATGTATTTTATTATTGTGCATATTAATTAGTTCATTGGTATTGTTGCCCATTGTACGCATTAACGTTCCAATTTTAAGAATTAAATACATTACATTAGATATCCTCCAAAATGCATATTATAACGTGTGTGCTGTTCTTTTTGTCATTAAAAAACAAACTGAGCACATCTAAAGAGTGTTTGTAAATTTCATATTTTAGACATTAATCGTTTCCTTCTGCAAGCCTCACATATCAGGAAATAAGGAGTGAAGCCCTGGGCCTTTCTGTTTTGTAGTCTCTGGCTAGTCATTGTTCTCATTTAATGTTGCTGCCCCTACAGCAAAGGAGAGCTGTAGATTTTGTGTAAGAATTCTAAACATGCATGGCTTCTAGCTGAGAAGTTGTTGGTTTTTAAATTGCAATAAACATGTTTCAAAACCCAATTAAAACTACAGAGGTTATTTTAAACTTAATATTTTGAGTCAGAATAGGTAAATTAATAGATATTTATGTAGATGTAAGAAATAATTCACTTGTATAAGTACAGTGGTAGACATTTCAATCAGGTTTAAAACAATGAACAGCTTATTTATCCACATTATCCCTAAACACACATACAAACACACACCTATACACACACTGTATATATTGGGCATTATTAAATGGGACAGGGATCTAAATGAATGTTGAAGTGATGCTGCTGGCAATGCCCAAAAAATGATATAGAGATATAGAGGTGTTAAAGAATGGGGGGATACTGCCAAAAGGAGCAAGTCATTGGCGGAACTACAGGAGTTGACTGGGCCCCTATGTTCCACTTGTCAAAGAGGGCCCAGGAATAGGCCAGCTGGCCACTTTAGATTGCTTCCAAAGTTGGTGTTTATTCAATATGGAAGAGTAGACTCCTGCATACCTGAATAGCAAGTGCCTACTTACCCAACATATAGCAGTGGGGAGAGAGCTATTTAAAATCACGTATGTCAGTTCCACCATATAGCCATATTATGTTAAGGACACCACTACTTCATAGTACCCCAATATCGGTGGGTCCTACACTAATTCCAACATGGGAGACAAATCAAATAGTGCTAATCCTAAATAAGTTGATGTATAATTAAATAATCTGTTGTAAGAGCATTGTGTATGTATATATATATATATATATATAATGCAAAATTAATGTGATAAATGCAATTTAAAAAATGCAGTGTCAGAACAATTAAAGTGATTAATTAAAGTGATTAATTTAAACTTTGAAGTATATGCTCACAATGCAAATTATATATCTGCTCGATGAAAATTAAAATTAACGTGACATTACTATCCAAAACCTCCTCAAAAAGATACCTGTAGTCCGCTCCAAAGGGGCCTCTGAAGCTGGGTGGCTGGGCTGAGTGTGTGTTGTCTATCAGTATGTGTCTGTCAGTGTGTGTGTGTGTGTGTGTGTATCACTCAGTGGGTGTGTTTCAATCAGTGAGAGTGTGTCTGTCATTGAGAGTGTATGTCAGTGTGTCTGTCAGTGAGTGTGTGTCTGCCAGTGAATGTGCCTCTCTGTCAGTGAGTGTGTCTGTCAGTAAGTGTCTCTTAGTAAGTATTTCTCTCAGTCAGTGCGTGTATTTGTCAGTAAATGTGTCTGTCAGTGGGTGTTTTTTTAATCAGTGAGAGTGTGTGGCTATCATTCAGTGTGTGTCTGTCATTGTGTGTCAAATCAGTGAGTGCTTGTCTGTCAGTGATAGTGTGTGGCTGTCAATGAGTTTGTGTGTCTGATTACAAAAACAGGTGGAGCTTTTAGATGGCGATGTATGTTGCCATAGAAACATGCATGTTTGGACTGAACATTTATAAAGGGGAGGAGTAAGTAATATGCCAATGTTCACCTGTGGGCACCAAAACATAATCCTGCACCCAGACATCTGTGACCCTAGAATCGGTACAGTGACTTGCTTTCTATGGTCCTAATTTAATATTTTATATAACTTTTGTTTCCCCCGCAAATTCACTAGTTTTTATATGTTATATATCATTGACTTGCGCCTGTAAACTATTAAGACTCTTACTGCATGTTACCATCAGAGGTCCTGAATGACCCCTTACCAAATGCGACAAAACCATCTGGCTGCAAAATCTGGACATAGTTCACTATTTAACAATGTACTGAATTTTAAATTTGCAATTATTATTAGAATGGAGCTTTTAACCCATGTGGCAGCTGTGGGCATATCTGTTAAATGTGTTGCCCATCCGCTGAAAAACAGAATGGTGCCTGTGAGATATCAGGGGGTGGACATAGTCCTCCCTCTATGCTCGCATCCATGGGAGGACATTTAAAAAAGTAAAGAGAGCTGGACAGCTTACTGTAGGTTGTACCTACCTGTGAGGACAACAATCTACCCCCACATTAACACATGGTCAGCGAGTGAAGGATATTATAAGATTCAGGGCAGAGGACCTAGTGTCCTCTCAGTGCCCCCATCCATTGGCGGCAAGTGGAGGCGCCCTAATACCACTAATCAAGGGGGAGAACCAAAAATTTCCAGGGCCGCCACCAATGGGCATACGGTGGGAGCCCTAATAATACTAATCAAGGAGGTGTCCATAGGGTTCCCCACCCATTGGCGGCGGGTGGGATCCTTAATGAGAACAATCAGCAGGGGATTAATGCCATTGTCCATATGTCAAATAGTGGTATGTCCCCATGGGTGTCAAGGGCTGCCCAATCCCCTAGCTATGCCTCAATTAAAATAAATAACCCTACATACCCCTCATCATCCTAATAATAGTGAAGGGGAGGCAAATAAATCTAAAAAAGTTAACTTGCTGTCAGCAGTCTTCTTTCTTCTATTTCTTTTTATCTTCAGTCCCTCTAAAAATCCAAATTAAAATCCATAATTCCTGACACAACTAATGAGACTTTTTTGTAAAAACAGAAAAATAATGTAAAACACGATGTTTCCATTTTGTTGCACGACTTGCTTTTTATGGTCCTAATTCCTACACTATTTTTTCCCCCAGCAAATTCACTAGTTTTTACAATTGTAATACATTATTGCCCTGTACCTGAAGACTGTTAAGTCTCTTGTTACCATCAGAGATCTGAATGACCATTTACCGCCATAAAATTAATCCATCTGCACGCATAGAGGGCTCTCCAAAGGTTGAGCTCTGATAGCAGGGAAAACCCTTATATAGGCTTTCCCACTGCATGTCATCTATTGCAAAGCATCTGTCAATGCACTGACAGTCAAGTCTTGAGAGAAGTCTCACTTCCCAATTTATATTATTATTTTTTTTTACCTTTTTAATGTGGCGGCAGGCTAACAAGCACTGGGTTTTTTAACTATTTGCTAGCTGGTTATTAGTGCTGCTAGGAGGCGAATAGTACTTAAATTTATCATCTGCTTGCTTAAAAGTAAGTGAATGTTAATTTGTGGATGTTCGTCTTGCTGGATGTATTCGGTGATGATGCTTTGCGAGTCTTCTAAATCCTATCATTTTTAGCAAAAACACAGAAGTTAACTTGGACACCGAATGCATGTGGGCAATTGTTGCAGATTTGCTTGGGGAGATCAAATTCCATCCGCATTTGGCTTTAGTAAATATGAGAATTGCAAATGTGAAATTTAGCCATTTTACCGAATTTTCTCCATCTGGATAAAATCTGGTATTTTGCGAATAACAGTGAGATTTTGGTATCTGTTCACTATATATTGAAATGTGGTGAACTGAACACTGAATGAATTGCAAAATTTAAGCTAAAAGAGAAAGCTGTGGCTATAATTGTATTTTTCTTTCAAAGCAACTTTTCCTGTCTGAACTTTGCAATTCAGTTTTTAATTAATTAAAACAAGATGTTTATTTAATAAACATCCTACTATCCTAAATGTTACTTTTCAACCCATCATAATTCAGAGAATAATCTGCTTATTATATTTGATTCTTTTGCAGTTGCTTTCTTTGAAACCATCACTTAAACATAACGAAACATTCTCTTGATGTGAAAATGTGTTTTCTGAGCTATTTTCAACATGAAACATTTTCCAGACCTGCTAAGCTTATATTCCCCAGAGTACTTGAGATACCGGCAAGGTGAAGACTTTTACCTATATAAAATAATGTTGAAATCTTCCTTTTAACTCAGAACATTTGTGAAATGTGTATGCTGCAGGCTTATATTAAAAAAATATGCTACCCTGCAGGATGCATTTTCAATAGACAGTGAGTATGTGAGTGAAGGTCTGCTCATCCTAATAATGAGGGATCTCCAACATTCTGCACTACAGGTGTTGCAGACTATGACTCATCATGCAGAGCCAGCAAAGTGGTAGCTTAGTCCTATAAGAGTCATAGGCTTCAGCAGCAGGAGAACCAGAGGCTACCTATCCTTGCAAATGATAAGCACTACGAGTGACAGAGAAGTGTGCACAACACAGTAATGCATATATTTCTGAAATCCAATGACTAAATTGTTTCCTACAGCTATATAGAAAGGATTTTGAAAAATAAGTTAAACTTTTCTAATTTTGTGGGGGGATGTTATTTGGTAGAGAATGTTTATAAAAAAAAAAAATAGAAAAGGCATATATAGTTTTACAAGAACAGAATGATGGTTTAAATGGATACATCTGTACAGGAAGTTATGAGATGTGGGTATTGTTTTAGGTAATCTACCATGTATTAAGGTAACAGAAATACTTTTTAAAAAAAATTGAAACCATATTTTTGGTGGTTACTAGAGACTTTACTAAATAAAAACCTTTGAAAATCACAGCAAAATGACATTGTGATGAAGTGCCCTTCACCACTTGTGCCTGAAGAGGACTAATGACTAGCTTTTTAACATGTGACTATGGTCCCTGGGAGTTATTGCCATTTAAACGCCTTTATTTATGGCTATTGTACTTTGGAGACTGTTTCTGGCCCTTTAAATGGTATTGCTACAATTCTGCACTTGTGAAGTGGCACTTCAGACACAGCCAAAGTGCCGAAGTATTTGAAGTGGCCGCCATTCGACAAACAAACACGTGGTGGCCATTTTAATTTAGCCAAACGTGGTCAGCTGTGTTTTGCCGTCGAGTTCATGGAACTAAAATCGGATACTCAATGTCACGGAAGTTTTACCTTCTTTGTAATTTCACACTTCGAATGGAGTCGAATGGCATTCGACAATACAAACGCCACAGTAACATTGTAGATTTGCATGAACGGTAGTTGAACTGTAGTAAATGGAGCGACCGCACAGCCAAAATCTATGGAACTGTTTTGGGCAGGAAAGCCATGCTGTGGTCAGTCAAATAAAACTTCCAGCTAACTCCCGAACGGCTGAACGGGTTTGCATGATTTTTGTATATGTTTGTTCCCTAATTATGCTGTTTCAGAAAATAAGTTTTATGTGAATGTGATGTATAATTTTAAAGTTATAGAAATTGTGTAAAAAGTGTATTTTTCGCTTGGAAATAATTGACCTGATACAGTAATTAGCCCAATTATCTCCCAAGCAGAGGGGAGGAATTTACTGTAATGAATGGGAGTGTTTAATCGTGTGTCTGTATATGATTTGTTGTTACGTTTGTGTTTTCAGTACCCAACAATGTCCACATGGGTGGTAACCTTGTGGGGAAATGTGTATAAAAGAAGCAATAAAGCCTCAGTGCATTCTGTTCATGTTTGACCCTCAACATGTAGCCTTGTCTCGTGATTGGAGGGGAACTGCTATAATTACACTTGGGATTGCTATACTTTGTATACTCCCTTGAGCTCTAATCACTTAGCTCTTTTAAGAGCTGTTTCTGATATGATCTCCTGTAGGAGAGGTCTTTTCCACACGGTCCTGGAGGACAGAAGCTGATCCAGGGTGGAAGGAAGACGGCGAGATTCCATTTAAGCTACGGCGGTTGTGGAGTCTGCGGTGGTTGGGGTGTCTGGTGTGGTGCTTGTGGTCCTCGGTGCAAGCTAGGCAGCGTCCATCAACGGAAGGTCGGAGTACAGGTGATCTGTTACAGGCATAAAATGCGTTTAATGTAGGGTTGCCAACTGGCTTGTATTTGAGGCTGCCTGGCCAGTGCCAGTATTGCAAAAATGTGTGGAGAGAGGCTGGGATAGGAATTTACATCATCTCCCTGCCTCTCTCTACTGACGGAATCTGCACAGTCGCAGTACAAGAGTACAGCAACTTCAGCTAGCAGCACCCAGCCAGTAGACAGACTGCATATGTGGTAAGTAAAGGATGGGGGAGACAAGGGAGAGGACAGGCTGCAAGGAGACACATGGGTAGACAATGAGTACCAGGTGGGGTAAGCAGGTTCAGAGAGACACAGATCATGGGATATGTGGAGAGAAACACAGATTTTGGGGCTTAACAGGTGGGGAGAGACACAGATTTTGGTTTACAGGTGAAGAGAGAGACACATATACAGGTTAACAGATGGAGAGACACAGATGGGGGGTTTGGACAGGTGGTGAAACACAAATAGAGTTTGGACAGGTGGATGGGGGCTTGGACAGTATGAGAGATACAAATGGGGGTTTGGACAGGTAAAGAGAAACAGATGGAGGGGGTTGGACAGGTGGAGAGACACAGGTGGGAGTTGATAAATGAGGAGAGATACAGATGGGAGTTGAAGAGAGAATGCGGAGGGCAGTAAGCTTTGGAGACATAAAATAAGAGGTGTTGACAATGACTTCCTTTAAAATGCATTACTGAATTAAAGGGAAAAAAAATATTTCACACTGTTTAGTAGATATAGCTCCACACAAAAAATAAATCATGTTGTCAAACTCCTGATGTCTGACTCCTGATAACTGTTGCCTAATTTCTAATACCTGGCTCTAATGTCTGACACCTGATTCCTAATGCCTGATACCCAGGGCCAGACTGGGGACACGAAGCAGCCCTGGAAAAAATCTATGACAGCCCCATAAGTCATTGTGCTATGTAGTGTGTGTTATATAACACACACTACATAGCATATATACACACACACACATATCTATATATACACCGAGATATATATATATATATATATATATATATATATATATATATATATATTATTGGAATATTTATTTTTCAATTCAAAATATTAGTCCTTTTAAGGTAATTAAATTATAGTAAAGCATATTCACATGTAGACACAGACAGTCTTACTGATGCACACAAATAGGTTCATTGACAGACAATCTCAACGACACACAAAGACAAGGTTACTGCTACACACACAAATTTAGTACAGACAAACTCTGATACACACACAAGCTTACTACAGACAAGCTCACTGCACACACATGCTCACCACGGACAGGAGCAGACACACCCATGCTCCCTACAGACAAGCTCACTAACACACACACGATCCCTACAGACAAGCTCACTGAGACACATACAAGCTCACTCACTAGCAGGCACACACACAAACTCACTAACAGGTGCACACACACAGAAGCTCCCTCACTAGCAGATGCACACACACAGAAGCTCACTCACTAACAGTAGTGCACACACACACACACACAGAAGCTCACTCACTCACTAGCAGATGCACACACACAAAGACATCCACACACACAGAGGCAGGCACACACACACACAGGGGCAGCCATCCACACACACAGAGACAGGCAGACAGCCACACACACACCAAAAGCCACACACACAGGCAGACAGTCAAACACACACAGGCAGATAGCCACACACTCACACAGGCAGATAGTCATACACACACACAGAGGCAGACAGTCACACACAGACAGTGTCACACACACAGGCAGACAGTCATACATACACACAGAGGCAGACAGTCACACACACACACAGACAGTACACACAGAGGCAGACAGTCACACACACAGGCAGACAGTCATACATACACACAGAGGCAGACAGTCACACACACACAGACAGTGTCTCACACACACAGCCACACACACACCAAAAGCCACACACACAGGCAGACAGTCAAACATACACAGGCAGATAGCCACACACTCACACAGGCAGATAGTCATACACACACAGGCAGATAGCCACACATTCACACAGGCAGATAGTCATACACTCACACAGGCAGATAGTCATACACACAGGCAGATAGCCACACACTCACACACACACAGGCAGACAGTCATACATACCCACAGAGGCAGACAGTCACACACACACACACACAGACAGTGTCACACACACACACAGGCAGACAGTCATACATACACAGAGGCAGACAGTAACACACACAGGCAGACAGTCATACATACACACAGAGGCAGACAGTCACACATACACACATACACAGGCAGACAGTCATACATACACACAGAGGCAGACAGTCACACACACAGACAGTGTCACACACACACACACACACAGGCAGACAGTCATACATACACACAGAGGCAGAGAGTCACACACATAGACAGTGTCACATACACACACACAAACAGGCAGACAGTCATACATACACACAGAGGCAGACAGTCACACACAGACAGTGTCACACACACAGGCAGACAGTCATACATACACACAGAGGCAGACAGTCACACACACACAGACAGTGTCTCACACACACAGCCACACACACACCAAAAGCCACACACACAGGCAGACAGTCAAACATACACAGGCAGATAGCCACACACTCACACAGGCAGATAGTCATACACACACAGGCAGATAGCCACACATTCACACAGGCAGATAGTCATACACTCACACAGGCAGATAGTCATACACACAGGCAGATAGCCACACACTCACACACACACAGGCAGACAGTCATACATACCCACAGAGGCAGACAGTCACACACACACACACACAGACAGTGTCACACACACACACAGGCAGACAGTCATACATACACAGAGGCAGACAGTAACACACACAGGCAGACAGTCATACATACACACAGAGGCAGACAGTCACACATACACACATACACAGGCAGACAGTCATACATACACACAGAGGCAGACAGTCACACACACAGACAGTGTCACACACACACACACACACAGGCAGACAGTCATACATACACACAGAGGCAGAGAGTCACACACATAGACAGTGTCACATACACACACACAAACAGGCAGACAGTCATACATACACACAGAGGCAGACAGTCACACACAGACAGTGTCACACACACAGGCAGACAGTCATACATACACACAGAGGCAGACAGTCACACACACACAGACAGTGTCTCACACACACAGCCACACACACACCAAAAGCCACACACACAGGCAGACAGTCAAACATACACAGGCAGATAGCCACACACTCACACAGGCAGATAGTCATACACACACAGGCAGATAGCCACACATTCACACAGGCAGATAGTCATACACTCACACAGGCAGATAGTCATACACACAGGCAGATAGCCACACACTCACACACACACAGGCAGACAGTCATACATACCCACAGAGGCAGACAGTCACACACACACACACACAGACAGTGTCACACACACACACAGGCAGACAGTCATACATACACAGAGGCAGACAGTAACACACACAGGCAGACAGTCATACATACACACAGAGGCAGACAGTCACACATACACACATACACAGGCAGACAGTCATACATACACACAGAGGCAGACAGTCACACACACAGACAGTGTCACACACACACACACAGGCGACAGTCATACATACACACAAGAGGCAGAGAGTCACACATAGACAGTGTACAGCATACACACACACACACAAACAGCAGACAGTCCTTACACATACACACACAGAGGCAGACAGTCACACAGACGGTATCCCACACACACAGAGCGAACAGTCATACATACACACACACACTGAGCAGACAGTCACACACACACAGACAGTGTCTCACACACACAGCAGCCACACACACACAAAAGCCACACACACAGGCAGACAGTCAAACATACACAGGCAGATAGCCACACACACTCACACAGGCAGACAGTCAAACACACACAGGCAGACAGTCAAACACACACAGGCAGATAGTCATACACTCACAGGCAGATAGCCACACACTCACACACACACACACACACAGGCAGACAGTCATACATACACACAGAGGCAGACAGTCACACACACACAGGCAGACATACATACGCACAGAGGCAGACAGTCACACACACATACAGTGTCACACACACAGACAGACAGTCATATATACACACAGAGGCAGACAGTCACACACACACAGTGTCACACACACACACAGGCAGACAGTCATACATACACACAGAGGCAGACAGTCACACACACACACACAGACAGTGTCACACATACATACACACACAGGCAGACAGTCATACATACACACACAGACAGTGTCACACACACACACAGGCAGTTACACACAGACACACTGACCTGCTTCTTACCTCCACATCCCTTGGAGCTCCTGGAGGCTGGTTGTTGGGGAAGCAGGAACTCCATGCTGCATTAACCAGGGCCCCCGCCACACGCTAAGCCCCACCCCGCCGCACACTAGGCCCCGCCCCACCACACACTAAGCCCCGCCCTGTGCTAAAACCCAACCCCAGCCGCAATATTTTTATTTTATTTTAATAATCCTGGCCGGCCATGTGTGAGCTGTGCCGGCTGCCTGGCTCCCCCTGCTCCCATGGGGTCCTGTGCGGCCACACAGCTCGCACAT